AACCCAGTCCTCAGAGTGACGAAAGAACACTTTAACCACTGGACTACCGAACTCAACATTGTGGGGAAGAAATAAGAAGTGTTTTAGCATCTAGCAACCGGAATACATAATTATTTTCATAATTATTATGACAAAGATCATAATTAATGGTTATTTTAAACAGATGGTTCGGAATCATTTCAAACATATATCAACCACAAATATTACTTTTACCCCTTTTCAAATCAACTTTTTGCAGAACATATTATGATTTATGTCAAAAAGCCATTTAATACCCATGTTTCACTAGCTCATATTCTCTTTATCAACCATACCCAGACCCATAGCACAGAAAACAAAGTTAGAGAAAATGGAAAAATGTGTTCTCCAGGAATCGGATTTATCGATGTAGTTTTTACCCTCATCTTCCCTCGATGCCACAAGAAGCCATTATCTGGAGGGTGTATCAAGCGAGGCCGGGGATCAAGAGGCAGTGGACCACATGGCCTAGTCCGCTTCTGTTTTACACTCATTACTGATAACATACAAGGGGGTCACTCATTTTCAGCTTCATTTACTGATAGTGGGAAGAATGCTGACTGGAGCCCTCCACACATACCTCCTGCATTGGGTGGGGAATTATCTACTGTCCGCATGGCTAGATGAACAGGGGCTGGACTACCCTCACAGACATACTAGGGGACACTTTCTTTACTGAGTCCCAGAGGTAGTTTCTGGAGCCCTCCACACATACACTGGGTGGGGAATAATCTACTGTGCACATGGCCAGCTAAAAAGGGGCTATTATACAGGGGCCAGACAACCTTCATCGCCATTCTATTGGACACTTTCCTTTCTGAGCTGTAATTTTACAGCTGCAGGGATATTTTCTAGTATTGTGACCAAATTCCACAGTGTGGCAGTACTGGATTACAAATCCCACAATTCTGGAATAGAGGCACAAGATGGTAAACCCTGTTCCATTCATACCAAAAGGCCTAAAAGCTGACACCCATGCTCTACATGGTACAAAGACGTCCATCCCTTAAACACACAGGGCAATCAAAACTCCACCTGTGTCTTGATTGGCCATAAAAGCCATTAATCAGACAGAGCATAGCAAAACTCCACCAAGCATTATACAAAGCATAGAAAACTACCAATCTCAACACAGTGCATAGAAAACTCCACTAAATAAGGACATACATACCAATCAAATAAGGCATACAAAACTCCATCAATACAAAACTCTACCATCATCAATAAGGGCATACAAAACTCCACCAATCATCAATAAGGGCATACAAAACTCTACCAATCATCAATAAGGACATACAAAACTCTACCAATCATCAATAAGGGCATACAAAACTCTACCAATCATCAATAAGGGCATACAAAACTCTACCAATCATCAATAAGGACATACAAAACTCTACCAATCATCAATAAGGGCATACAAAACTCTACCAATCATCAATAAGGACATACAAAACTCTACCGATCATCAATAAGGGCATACAAAACTCTACCAATCGTCAATAAGGGCATACAAAACTCCACCTATCACCACTAAGAGCATACACAACTCCCCTAATCTCTACACACGGTATCCACAACTCCCCTAATGTCTACACAAGGTATACACAACTCCCTTAATCTCCACACAAGGTATACAAAACCCTAGCAAACTCCATTAATCTCCACACACACTCCAAACAGAGCACTAAAAACTCCACCAATCAGCATACAGAGCACTTTCACAGCACTCTACCATTCATAACAGAGAGCACTGAAAACTCTACCAATCATAAAGGGCATAAATAAACCCCCTCTCTCCTCCTATCCCACACCCCACCCCATACCCCTCTCTCTCCCTATCCTGCCCCCATCCCATTAAACCTCTCTCCTCTCTCTCCCATCCCACCCCCCACCCCACTTTCTCTCCTAACAGGGTCCCTCCCTAACATCTAATAGAACATAAGAACATCACCAGAAAGAAAACTACAATGATATAGGTTGTAAGAACACTTTGTGTTAGACTAGTCATTACAGAGTTAAACTACCCATCTAATAATTCCATTCAGATTTTTTACCAGTGTCCTGATCAAACCAAAATGTCAACACAGAACCCATCTTTCAGTCAATACGTTACGTTAAGACTGTCCATCAATGAAAAACCATCTGACTTGAAATATTTCAGCTGCAACCAAACTTGGAAGCTGTCAGAAAACTGATTACTTCCTGCCACTGACAACTGCCGAAAAAACCTGACCAAATATCTGTAGTCCTATTTACTTCAGTGCCACTTTTATTTAATAATCGGCAACAAATGTGTTTTAGTTTTCTATTAGAGAAATTAATCAGAGTAATTGTTAATTTTCTTCGTAGTTGCAGGAAATCTTACCCTCTCCCTACTGTAGTAGAATCAGTCTGTAAACGGGATGCCAGTTTTGACAAATTGATGACAGCTCCCAACCTAACACATCATTTTCTCATGATAGCCGCTGACAGGTCTTCAAAATTGTTTCTGACCAAACAAATAACAACGGCATCGAATGTTTATATTTTCTTTCAATTTTGACTACAGGTTCTCCCAACCTGGTGACTTGCCAATAAATTCTTATCTTACATAAAATCTATGTATGGATGTCGCTTATTATGACGAAATATTGTACTAATGAGAAAATGGAGGGAAGTGAACAGAGTTTATCAACATCCTGTAATTTCTGCAATGAAATACCGGAAGTAGGAGATTTAACAACATAAAAATATAACACGTGAGAAGGAGCGAGTTGCAGATAATTAAAACACAGAACCGTCCCTAAGATGTATATCAAACCCTGTATTCATAAACAAGACGAGGTCAGGAGAGCAACAAATTAACACAATGTGGAAAAGTATTTCTTCAAATTATTCGACTGAGACGTTCTTCACAAACAGCTAATTATATTTCATGAGCGTAATTAAAACTTAACATTTTGCAAAAGTGTTTTAACTGAAGAAAAAAGGAGTGAAAACTCATTAAGGTAAAGGTATGGTTTAGAGAAAACTTGAAAGAAATGATAGAACTCTCAGGTGGGAGTATCTCCTGCTCATCAGTTTCATGGATAAATTTACATCCACACGTCGCAAAACACAGCAAGAACACATTTAAACACATATCAATTCTATTTTCTTATGTAAGAATACGATAACTATGTAATGACGAAGAGCGCGCTTTTAGAGCAGAAGTGATGATTCCTGAAAATAGCCCAGACGTACTATCTAGCATCATTGGAAGACAAAATAACATTGAAAAGTATGTGTTTAGTATCTCATGTAAGGCATGTTGAAGTGATATGGCAAACTAGTTTCGATATCCAAAAAGAGTTTTACATTTACCTCGCGACAGGTGTGGCATGCAGACAAAAGTAGGGCTGTTTAATGGCAAATAAATTGTATTGCGATATATTGCGATTCAGGTACCGATATTGTGATATATTTGGAGCTGAAGTGTTTGAGAGTAAGTGCCACTAATTGTACATGTCGGTCATATTTTCGACATTCTATGTCCCTAAACATATATGTTATGACTCGGATAACAGCAATCTTAAAATTAGGTTGCATAGTCGTGGATTCTATTTTCTTTTTTATACAATTTATAGTTTTTACCTTATTACAGTCTGCCATTTTGTCATTGAATAACACATTTTTTGTGAATGAAAGTCTGTGTAGATATTAATTTAAACCACAAAGATAATCACAAAAACTTCACATATGTTCTTGAGCCAATATACCGGTTCTCAGAAAAAATATTGCAATACATCTTGTTTGAAAGGCGTATTGCGATATACCGGCAGTCCTAGATGATGATGGATCAGAAACAGATAGGTATAGTATTTTCTACCATAGTAAACACTCTGGAGATTTTCAAGTGAGCAGCATGACACAGCGTGAATAAGTGAGTGAGCATGGTTTTAGGTCACGTTTAGAAAAATTCCAGAAAAATAGCTGGGTACATCAGAAATAGGCTTCAAACTACAGTATAAGAAATTCTCATTATATTACACGGATATACTGGATGCTCTAGAGGACAGTTATGGCAATGTTCTGATTTTTTCACTTGATATAATGCTCAGGCAATTACTACGAATTAATTATCCAATTTCAAGATAATTATATTATCAGAGAATGGTAATTACTATAATATATAGGAATACACCCTGAAAAGTTCATTTTTCATGGAAATTTATGCCATCACTTAACACACAATCTTGTTCAATATCACGGTTCATTGGAGAGTCTTATTCATAAAAACAGCAAATCAGCCAGATCTGCTTCCTCAAGAAGTTTATCAAATTTTGAACAGCCAAATGTTGACCTCTGAAGGTCCTCAACACTGGGAAACTTTGATGAAAATTTGACATCTAGATGTTATGGCATAGATATGCAAGACTTGAGCATAGATCTGAGCATAGATAAGGATAAGTCACAAGGGGTATATATTTGTCTCATCTACTAAAGCATGGCTCTTTTCCACTTATTTTTCTACTTGTCTTTATTTTGTTACCTCTTCTTCACTCCTGTGCCGCCATTTATCTAACAGGGATAGCGACAGTGACAGGTTTCTAAATTAATTCAGTAAAGAAAACTGATGATCAAATTTCCCCATAGCTGAGTCAGACTCTTCAATTTTGTAAACAAAAATGTGCTGACATCATCAAAAAATTTAAGGCTCATCATGTCGCAATTTGAAACAAACTTACAAGTTTCCCAAAGTTCATACTTTGGTAAAAAAACTAAAAGAATCATTGTGAGAAATAGCTGATATCATGGAAGAAAATATGCCCACAGGATTTGAAGAAAGTTTATCGCATCCTGATATCTGGGTAAAGTAAGGTTTAAACCAGTCAACCTCTGTCAGAAACGAGTCGCTGTTCTGGAATCAAACAAAAGGACAAAACTCACATATTTCCAAGAAATCTCTGCTAAAATCAGTTGATTGTATGATTCGAAGATATATAGGAGAAATGAATTACCTGTTTCTGGAGACCATCCTTGATCGTCTGTAGCTGTGCAATCATGTCATTGAGCTTCTGTTCCTTGTCCTGAACTGGGCCATCACTGGTTAGAATCTGCTGCACACTCTCGATCACCCCAGGGTCCTTTTCTTCTGTAGTCTTTGTCATAATGTCCTTGATATCAGTGTCCTGGCTTTTAGAGTTCAATCGTCGCAAAACACTCGCCATAGATTTCTTATGCAGCCCTAAAGAAGGCTTTGTTGTAGTTATACTGTTATTATTGTTTTGCAACGAGCTGTGACACTCGTCACTGTCGGATTCTGCCGAGTGATGGTTGCCCAACCGATCAACAAGTCTCTGCTTCTTGCGAGGAAGTCTGTCCGAACCAGTGTCCGAAGAATCGTTATCACTGTGGTCAAAATGGATGAACTGATGCGGCAGGTGAGGCTCTGTGTCACCCTCCGAATCAAAATGGTTATTGTCACAGTCTGAGTTGAGAGTTTGTCGCTCTAGTACGACGTCGTCCTTACTTAATTTTGTTGGGGTGTTTTTTCGCTTAGAAGACATACTCCTGTCAAAGAGAAAAAGATAATGAGTCCAGTGAATCCTTTCATTTATTGACGTCATCAGGTCTGCTGAAGTCGATGATCATTCCTGTATAAAACATACTCGGCTGAAAAGCAAGAAATTATTTACATGACACAATCAATCAAGCATACACTCAAACATTGGGAAATAACATAGGGAAGAAGTGGAGTGTGCTTCGTTGCTTACATTTGTGGCATGGTGTCAATCTGAGAAAATCATCTGACACCCACTTCCGCAGCAGTTAAGTTTCAAATATCCAAAAGACTATCAAGTTAAGATGTGTGAATCTTGCTGCAAGAGTGAACAATTCTCTGAAAGCAAAGATGAAACAGAAATCACAAAGAAAATGGAAATCCCGTGTATAGAAGCACACTGAGAGTATGGTGCGCATTAACTAGCCTACCAAATTAAACCAACTTGTGCAGAGTCCCAATCACAGCCAATTGAACCATTTCCATTCTTAGGCCAGTTGGACTGAATGTTATCTGGAAGCATGCTTATTCCTCAATCTCATCAATTCATGGTTTGACAGGCATTATGCAATCTACACAATGGCACAAAGTGTTGCAGCAGTGACTCTGTCAGAGGCGTTGTTTGTGTGCTGAGTTGTTGGCAGCAGAGGGATACACCACAGCAGACGCAAAGTAGCAGACGCAACATAGAGCCGCAGCAGACGGCAAGAGAGAGAGAGAGATTTGATAACTGGTAATGAGTGTATGTGTGTGACTACTCCTTCTCATCTCCATGTGTTCCCTGTCTCTGCTGAGAGCGCAGAGATAATACATAAGAGAGGCCAGGACCTATAGAGTGACTGCCCTTGCATGGTTTATACTAAGAGATGAGTTTATTCATTTCCATAACCCCGTGTGTTCAACCAGACTTTTCTACGTGCAATTCGGCATCAAATAGAAGAATTCTCCTCCACAAAAACGTCAATGTGACAAGCCGGGCTATTGTTGGCGGACTTGTGAGGAGCTCCTGTGTAGCCAACTTAGGGACCTGTGCAATATCTGTATACTATGATAGTTGCTGAAATGTAAACCAATTTACTTTTTTGTGAAAAAAGCCTAAATCTTGTCTTTCACTGATCCAAGTTACAAATTGTGTGTGTCAACAGTTTCGAAAGGCGATTTAGCAGATAATATTTCCAAATTGTTAACAGTGTAAACAACAAGTCCCTTATCGCACAGAATAGTAACAGATCAACAATTCACCAAAGATACATCTGCCACTTTTTTCTGGCATAGCTCAAATTTCTTTTCTCTAGTGCCAGAAATAAAGTATGGATTTTATCAATTGTGGTATTTCTGCAACAAGTCTTATAACGAGAGTTTTCGTTGAGGTTGATTATGGGGAGATGGGGGAAGGGGGGATCCTGAGAAGGGGAATGTTTGGATGAAGTGTCCCTCTCTTCTGATAACATCTCATGATAGATAGACTCAGTATGCTGTAAATACACACAAAGACATTTTCCCATTGCAGATCATTTCAGGATAAACACCCGGCAGTACAAAGCCTGCCGTCTGGCGATGAACTATCTACATCTCTGGACACTGACATAAATATTAAAGACTTATTCAGTCAACATCCTCTCCCTTTTCACTTATTTTCAGGAAAAATTTGAAATGGTATCTTTCTTTTTTTATGATATATCGTTCAGAAAACTAACTGGACTTTGTCAAATAAGAATTCTTGTTAGATTATACACAAATATTGTATATTCTGGTTGAGATTACGTCCCAATATTGTATATTCTGGTTGAGATTATGTCCCAATATTGCATGTTTTTGATAAGATAATGCTTTAGCAATACATATCCTCGATGAGATTATGTCCCAATATTGCATATCCAAATGAGACTGCGTACCAGTATTGAATGTACTTGATAAGATAATGACCAAGTTGAACATATTCTGGATGACATTTTGTCCCAATATTGCATATTCTGGATGACATTATGTCCCAATATTCCACATTCTGAATGAGATTATGTTCCAATATTGCATATTCTGAATGAGATTATGTTCCAATATTGCATATTCTGGATGACATTATGTCCCAATATTCCACATTCTGAATGAGATTATGTTCCAATATTGCATATATTCTGAATGTTCCAATATTCCACATTCTGAATTATGTTCCAATATTCCACATTCTGAATGAATGTTCCAATATTGCACATTCTGAATGAGATTATGTTCCAATATTGCATATTCTGGATGACATTATGTCCCAATATTCCACAATCTGAATAAAATAATGTTCCAATATTGCATATTCTGGATGAGATTATGTTCCAATATTGCATATTCTGAATGAGAATGTCCCAATATTGCATATTCTGAATGAGATTGTCCCAATATGCATCTGTAGCCCTCAATAAGTGTATTTTAAATTCATGATATAATCATCCAATTCTGATATAATCATCCCACTTCCACAAAAATCATCTTTGTATCTCTGTAACTTGACATCTGTATGTTGTGAGTACTTAAATAAACATGTCTTCACCTCTACATTGGCATTTATAAGCACCATTGATGCTCTACACAATCATATGATCACGGAGCACATATAAGCAATCTGATTCCAAGAAAAGAAGAGTTACACATCGGGACAACTGTTTCTGAAAATTCATCTACTATCAGACCCGTGAAGACCCGGGGTAGAATAGGTCTTCAGCAACCCATACTTGCCATAAAAGGCGACTATGCTTGTCATAAGAGGCAACTAACGGAATCGGGTGGTCAGGCTCGCTGATTTGGTTGACACATGTCATTGGTTCCCAATTGCGCAGATCGATGCTCATGCTGTTGATCACTGGAGTGTCTGGTCCAGACTCGATTATTTACAGACCGCCGCCATATAGCTGGAATATTGCTGAGTGCGGCGTAAAACTCAACTCACTCACTCACTCACTCACTCATCTACTATCACAATCATCTCTGAACAATCTCCGAAACACAGTCCTGCAACAACCTTCAACCGCAGTGATGCATAGTTTCTCAACAAACAAATGCAACAGATTTGTCCTACCTACCTCAAAAGAACCGCTGTTCCTTATAAAATCATAACTCTTTTCCTGAATATGTTTTGTCTCAGAAATACAATAAATATTACCTTTGTATACTGGCAAAGACTTTAAAATTGAAACTCTAGTTAAAAAATTCAAGGACTAGTTCTTTCCTTATCTATTGCCAGCAAAAGAATTTGAAATGACATTATTTTCATGAGCTGGTTAGGACACTGCTTGTAAGCACTGGTGGAATGGCAGTAGCATTCCATGAGTGATAAATTAGGTGATATGGACTGAGCTTCTGGCACTGCTGGCCAGGGTTTGATAAGAGAGGGGTATAACCTGCCATAATTACCCCCTCGCAACTGACATAACGCTACTGTCCAATAGCTACTGTTTAATTGGCAGCCCTCCTGTCATGGCAAGCATGGAATTGGACAAAGCTTCTGGCATGGTAATCTCCAAGATGTGCTTATCTACTCGGGAACAAACACAATAAGCAAATCGAAAGCACATTTCCACCTGTCAGACTTGGCAGCAAAAAATGGCAAATGCCACAAATGGACGGAGTTGAGTGTTGGAATCGAGTCTGACTTTTGTAGGAGGGGTAACAAAACATAGGTATGCATGGGGAAGAATATCAACGAGGGAACAACATCTTGGAGCAGAACAGGAAAACAGGAGAGATTAGGACGCATTCCTGCCCAGATGGGTATCTGGTGAAGGGTGGCATCGTCCTTCATCATTCGACTCACTCTCGACATGGCTTTGTGTTTCTCCATGATTACGCAACATGTTGCTAACAGCTGATGCAGCATGGCTGTGATGGATTTCAAGTCTTTAACAACATACTTTAAACCCATCACAACACATGCCTCTGTCAGATAAGACATGTTTATTGTCTCATGTACAATACTCTTTGGTCATAGTCACAATGACCACTGACAGGCAGTTGTCCATTAGAACTAAAATTCATAATTCTTCATATGTATATGACAATATCAACAAAAAGAAAAACAGTTTTGATTGTCCGATTCCACATTCCATCGAGCGTAAAAGCAAAATGGTGTTATAATCATATGTTGGATCACTTAAAATTAGCGATAACACAAGGCATTCTGTCGAAAGGGTACTTGTCTGTTTTACCAGAAACACCTGTATTCACTCATATTGATAAAAAAGTATTTGTATTAATGGGTTCCCAAGATCTTAAGGTCTCCTATATGAATTGTCATAAAGACTGTCTATTAAAACTAAACCAAATCATAATTTCTGAATATTGACTTCGACTGAGATTGTAGAATCTTGTTAACAGAATTTCTTGCCTCTGTGGCAAATCATGGTGCGGTTCCACAGATGAGAAATTAGCGACATGTGTTCTTTTGGCAGAGATATTCATATCATTCAAATGGAAGTGAATGGCATTGAGAAAGCGCCAAATTCTAGAGTTTGGTAGACTTCCAGATCACATGTGTTATGCTATGAGTGACAAATTATCTACAGATTGTTAAGTGTTACATTAACAACGGTTCAGTTTAGAAAGTGTTTAAAATTAAGAGTACAACAAAGATTGGTTTAGACAGTGCCAAATTAAAGAAATAAGAATAATCAATATTAAAACAGTTTAGTTTCAAGACATTAAAAACACCAGACATAAAAACGGAAATGACGAATCCTAAAAACGCCAATGGAACCAAGAACGACCCTTCCTTGGTGATCAAGAGTCACATCAATGGATTTCCAATTAAACAACAGGATCTTCCGATTACTCACCACGTGTTGAAAACAACTCTTTGACAATATCACCTGTTATCCCCCGGCGCCATTTCTTTCAGAAAACGGAAAAATAATTCAAACACTCCTTAGATATGGAATGTGCACCGATCCTGGTTTCCTGTGCCCCGGTATTGTACCAGATTGACTTCTTTCCCACCTGACACACAGCGACATAAACCACGGATTAT